ATGATTGTAGGCAAATTATGAACTGGGCACTTTCTGCCACTTTCCCCTGTTCTTACTCTTAAAGGGCTGGTTTAAGCTCTCATTGCTATCACTTCCAAAACACTGAGGTCCTAAATCTTAGGAATATAGCAATCCTTCATTTGCTTCCACTTGAGTTAACGGTAGCTTTCAAGAGAAAATAAGTTGCTGTACAATAGGTGTTTCTTTCAAAACAAAACAGATAAAACAATGGTTCCCAATGGATTAAAACTTCCAGAAGCCTTCACCCACTAGCTGTGCTGGCCAGGATTTCTGGAAGTTGTAAATCAAGAACACCTGGGGACCCAAGGTTGGGAGCCACTGAGATAAAAACATTTTGTAACATTCGTCATAATGAAGTTGTCTAGGCAAGTAGCCTTACCAATGAAAAGCAGACAGTGAAGTCTAAACACTGTGGAAGTTGGCAATTTGTCCATGATTTCTGTTAACAAGCATGAATCTCCAAGGACACAAACCCAGTTTGAAAACTGGATTTCCCCCCCTAATGCTATCTGTAGACTGAGTACTAGGGGAGACAGAAATATAAACCAGAATAATCTATACAGAAGCCTCTGAAACCCCATACTGGATCTTATTACCAAAACTAGAATTCATAATCTATATTCAATAATCAGATCTTTGGGCTGTAATACATTTAAATTAAAGGTATAATCACACAGGCCTTTTTAAAAAACACACCAAAAAAACTTTTTTTTAAAAAAAGCATCGTATTCAAAAAAATTTAAATCATTGTTTTTACCTAATCTGAGATTACTCTGTAGATTCTGACAGAGAGAAATGTGAAACAAAATATTTTAAACAAACAATATGATTCAACACATCTGTTAGTTTTCTTCTTTTGTAAACCAACAAAAGTTCTGTTGCTCAGATCTCTTTCTCTGGTTGAACAGAGCAAGATCTTCCATAATGTCAGTTATTTCACTAGAACCCTTTACTATCAGTGTTCTGTTCTGTTTTTCCTCATGATTCCAAAAGTATCAAAAAGGTAAACCTCAGGAAAGAACCCTTTTATTGTAGTTTCTAAATCTTCAGGGCTATAGCTTTTTTCATCCATTGCACCAAAACAACAATTCTTGTGGCACATTAAAGACTAACAGGTTTTACTTGGCATAGGCTTTCACAAACCGTACCACATTTTATGACATACAGTGGTGCTTCGACTTATGAACTTAATTGGTTCCGGAACTCTGGTTGTAACTCAAAATGGTTGTAAACTGAAGCACCATTTCCCATTGAAATGCAATTAATCCTTTCCGGATGGAGAAAAAAAATCACCAAAAAAAGCAGTGCAGGAGTCATCGGAAACACGATTAATCTGTTCCGGCTGAAGGGGGGGGGGAGAAAAGCAAGTAAAGCACGCAAGACCCATTAGAAATGCAAAAAGAGCAAAGCAGAAAGCAAGCGAAGCATGCAAGACCCGTCAGAAATGCAAAAAATGCAAAGCAGAAAGCAAGCAAAGCGTGCAAGACTCATTGGAAATGCAAAAAAAAGCATAGCGAAAAGCAAGCAAACCCTGCAAGACCCATCGGAAATGGGGAAAAAATGCCAACAAACAAACCCCCAAGACCCATCACAGCACAGAAATATAACCCCCCCAGCCCAAAACCACACTGCAAAACCCACCCAGAACAGTTTTTAAAAAGCAGAAAATAGCAGCTTACTTTACCAGGCAGTCCGTAAGTCAAGACACCACTGTACATCTAATGAAATGTTGTCTTCAACAAGCTTTATGTTTGACAGATGCTTGTTGATGCATTTAAGCACTCCATGAAGACTCATAAAGGCAATAACACATGAATCAGACTCATTCTTTCTTTCTTGCACTATTGCACCTCAGACTTTTCATACACTGAAGTGTTACTGCTTCATAATCAACATACAGTGGTGCCTCACTTAACAATGTTAATTGATTCCCAAAAAAACATCGCTATGGGAAAACATTGCTAAGTGAAACACCATTTCCCATAGGAATGCATTGAAAACCGGGTAATCTGTTCCAATGGGAACGGATTACCGTCCTTAAGCAAAAATCGCCATAGGAAACATCGCTAAGCAAAACACGGTTCCCCCATTGGAATACAAACAGTTTTTGAATACAGTGGTGCCCCGTATAGCGAGGTTAATCCGTTCCGGATTAACCCTCGCTATACGGAATCATCGCTAAACGGGTAGGGGAAAGGTATTGGAACGCATTAAACGAAGTTTAATGCGTTCCAATACCTTCGTTACTTACCCATTCAGCGAGGATTCCAGGTGCCGGCAGCCATTTTCGCGCCTTCGCTAAGCGAGGGCAGGGCGCGAAAACAGCTTCCGGCAGCCATTTCCGGGCTTCCGGCAGCCATTTTGGAACCGCCAATCAGCTGTTCAGCAGCTCCAAAATGGCCGCCGCAATACCCGATCTTCGCAATGCGGGTTTTCCCCATTGCGAAGATCGGGTATGTTTCCGTATAGCGATCCCGAAAAAGGGATCGCTATACGGAAACATCGCTATACGGTGCACTCGTTAAGCGAGGCACCACTGTATTTTAAGACACACTTATAATAGCGAAAACGGACATCGCTAAGCGAAACAGGGGGACCTAAACTGTCATCGCTAAGCAAAGCAAGGTCCCGAACATCGCTATGCGAAATTTCCCCATAGGAAACATAGCTAAATGGAGCGCAAGATCGCTCCAAAAACCTCATCGCTAAGCGAATACATCGTTAAACGAGGCAATCGCTAAGCGAGGCACCACTGTACCTGTATTGCTCAAAAAGACCAACTGAATACATCACTTTCAAAAGTGGCCTATCATTCTAAATAATCTGTCCACTCTAAGGAAATGTATGGTAAGTTTTCCATTGTAGTGCTAACATTTACAGTTTCTTATTTTCACTTACATACTCCCTCACTACTGTTATCACTCTCTGGGCAGTTCACAACATGCAATAAAATCACCAATAAATATACAATATTCATTTAAAGCTATCACTAGTTAAAACAATGAACCTATCTTAAAAAAGAAATTCACAAATCAAAACACATTTCAGGATCTCATATCAATATTCATATTAGTAGAAGATAGCTTTAAAACAATTACATTATTCTTCACTTCCTAAAAACTGAGAAGGATGGCACCTGGCAAAACTCTGTAGGAAGCTTATTCCAGAGGGAAGGGGGAAGCAGGTGGGATAGCTAGCTCTTTTGTAAGAGAGACATTCTGCTAAGTATCAAGGTCCTAAACCATTAAGGGGTTTCTAGATTGTGACTAGAAACTTAAACTGAGCATGGAAACTAACAGGGAGCCGAAGAAGGCATGCCAAGACTGGGGAAGTGTGTTCATATCTCCTGGCACATGTAATTAGTCTAGCCACTCTGTTTTGGACATCCTGAAGTTTCTGTTCTGGATTCAAGGGCAACCCTATAGAGAGTGTTCTCAAGTTGTACTTAACACATCTCTCAAAAAAAGGAAGAGACACACTACTGTTCCTGTTTGGGGAAGCATCACCTCTCCTTTTCAGTTTATACAATGAAGGTGGTGAACTCTCCTTCACCGAAAGCTTCTACGCAGATGCTACGATAGCCATCTGTTAGGGATGCTTAACTGTGGATTTCCTACTTTATCTGGGGATAGGACTCACGGACACTCGGAGAATCTCCTAGCTTTATAGTACTATGATTCTATGTCCAACAATATTACACCTCACAACACTGTGATCAATATGCAACTCTTGTTTCCCTATATTGACTCACACGTAGCCTTCCTTAGACTGCACAGACTATATGAAGTTTTCTTCCCTATGCTGAATTACTACTAGTACCTTAGATTTCTTCAGTTGAGAAAACAGCAAGAATTATTTTTGTTACAGCTTTGTGAGAAATGTTTAAGTGCCTACGGTAAGAAATGAGATTTGAGTTGCATTCTTAATTACACTGTAGTAGAAGAGTCATTTTCTAGATCATGCTTAGCACAATAGCCAACCCAGTTCTATTCTGCATTTATTTGCATCATGATTCCTGCTGTGGGCCAAATAATTTGAAAGCCTCAAAACTGGCACATTACTCATCAGTCTGGGCAAGCCCTAATCAATTCAGGATCAGCAAGTGGACCACTCATCTCAAGGACAGTGGTTTCTCTCTGAAGAAAAAGAATCTTTCTGCCACATTTTCCTCAGAAGTCTTAATTCCAAAGGTATTTATGCTGACTCAAATCCTCAGAAAAATTACTACTGTGTCTAAAACAAACTTCAGCCGTACAAGTCATCTAGTAGAACTGTTGTATAATGAAAAGCTGCTATCATTATAAATGATTTTGATTTACAGTTACGGAATATTCAGTAGCAACTATAGTCATTCATCACAATAAGACAGAAGAGGAAGCTGCTGAATGTACACTGATTGGGGAAAAAAATCAAATAAAGGAAACTGCACTGCAAGAGACACCCCAACCAAAATCAGCTTTTTTCAATTTTCATTCACATAATACTATAAAAAACTGCTGACTGGCTAGTAATTTACATAAAAGTTCCAGATTCCTCAATTAAGTGATGAGGCACCAATCAACTGCAATTTTCATCTGGCAAAATTTGGTTCTCTAACTCCTCATTAGTTCAGTAACAGAAGATACATCTTCCCATTTATATTGAATTCTACCATCAAGTGCAGAAATTGGGCCTGATCTTCTTTTAATTACCTTACTACTGAAAACTGAAGGTGGACAAGCACTTGCGCTAGGAACGACATTCCATTTACAATCCCCAAAGGAAACAACTGAACTTCTGGATTGAACATTCATTGGACTGCATCATTAACACAATCTATGAAATTCCTGCAGGTCACTCAAATAACACAACCCAGCTTACGGGGGGGGGNGCAGGGGAATGGAAAATTACACAGATTGTCAAACAAGCAATAAAATACTTTTACTTGAAAAAACAATATCAAGGTCAGCTACCAAATAATAAAATATGGTAACAAATACCTGGATTTCAAGAGGGGTTGTGCCACCCATTTCTTTAGTCTTCGTCGCCCAAATGAAGTTCTCGTACGATCCAAGACCCAGAATAGGCTGCCTTTTGTTTTCATATCAGTCTGCAGTTATGACAGCATGTGTTTTCATTAATGAAACCCAAAATAGAATATGAATCCTCTAACTATATCCAAATTCCTCTTGCCTCCCTCTTACTCCTCTTGGTCACTCAGACTTCTTTGCATATGACTACACCATGCTCTCTATATAACTTGCTATGATCTTGTAAGATTGACGGAGTTCAACTGTACTTAAGTGAATGCAAAACATGAATAAAATTTATATAATGGTTAGGAGTTCTAGATTTAAAAAATATATTCTTTGGGAATATGATAGGTCAAAATATGCTCCTCTGGCAAACAAATGAATGAAGTATACTTTCTTACTTGATTCTGTAAGATTTCAAGATTCTTCAGTGACGTTCCATTAAGTGTCATATATTCAGCATTATTTGACAACTTCTTAAAACTACTAAAATAAAAAAATATATTGCACACTAAGGATGCACATTTATTCATAAAGTAATTACGTTTATGCTTGAAAATTTATTATTATTATCATTGTATGCTGCTTGGAAATTCACCTTAAACTTACAAGGGAAAAATAACCTTCAGAAAGCATGTGAATCATTTCAATGATACAAAAGGAAGCAACTAGCAATGTTAACCCTTCTTGAAGCACATGGTTACAGAAGTTACTTCTTCCACTGTTATTTTTTCAATGGCAAATTTCATGCTTACTCACTTCTTTACATTAAAATAACTTTCCAAAACATTTAAGTAATTAATCAGAGAACCTATAGTACTGATTTGACACGCTTCATATAGAACTGTTCATAATGAAGTACAGTGGTGCCCCGCTAGATGCTTACCTTGCATGACGTCAAAATTGCTCGACGATGACTTTTTTGCGATTGCTATTGCGTTCGCAAAATGATGGTTCCAATGGGGGAAATCCACTTTACGTTGATTAGGAGCCTGCATCGCAAACCGTTTGCTCGCAAAACAATGTTTTTTCTGGCTCCGCAAAATGGCTTCCCTCCCTTCTCAAAATGGCTGCTTTCTAGTTCCTCAAAATGGCTTCCCTCCGCAAAATGGCTTCCCTCCCTTCTCAAAATGGCTGCTTTCTGGACGGAAGCTTCGCATTACAGCGATTTTTAACAGCTGATCGACAGTTCTCTATGGGCAATCTTCACTGGACGATGCGATATTTCCCCAATTGGAATGCATTGACCGGTTTTCAATGCATTCCAATGAGGGTTTTTTCGCTTGACGACAATTTCGCTTAACAGCGATTTTGCTGGAACGCATTCTCGTCATCAAGCAGGGCACCACTGTAATCTGAAATCAGTCACATTGAACCATGGGAAGCAATATAAAGTGAGCCAGCTACCAGAAGCTCTGGTATGAAGGATCAAAGAGCGAAGTCAGGACCAATAGTGAATCAGATCGAAGAATTGAAAAACAAGTCAGAAATCAAGACTGGCAGACAAAACAAAACAGAAGCAGGATGTCTAGGAAAATGTTGGGGGAGGGCTATGTGTGGAGCGAAGGGAAATTAACATTTAATAACAGCTACATGCTAGAGTCATGGTGGCACTGTGGCTTAAACCGCAAAGCCTCTGGGCTGCAAGGTCATAAGATCAGCAGTTCGAATCCACGTGACAGAGTGAGCTCCCATCGCTTGTCCCAGCTCCTGCCAAACTAGCAGTTCGAAAGCATGTAAATATGCAAGTAGATAAATAGTACCACCTCAGTGGGAAGATAACAGCGTTCTGTGTTTAGTCACGCTGGCAACGTGACCACGGAAACTGTCTATGGCCAAAATGTTAGCTCTACGGCTTGGAAACAGGGATGAGCACTGTCCTCTAGAGTCAGACACGACTGGACAATTTGTCAAGGGGAACCTTTACCTTTTACATGCTACTTCCAGTGGGGGATCTGGAGACCCCTCATCTGAAGTTTAATTTCAGTCCTTTTAAACTAAACAACTTGTTCAATTTATTATGGATGATGGCTTAGTTCACTGGACCAGCACTGAGATATTTTAAAAAGAGAATGTGAGATGCTCTTCCCTTCCTCCATGTGAACTGTAGATCTCTTAGAATCTAGATCAGTGATGGCGAACCTATGACACATGTGCCACAGCTCGCACACAGAGCCCTTTCTGCGGGCATGCAAGCCATAAGTTGCCGGATCACTACTCCCCCCCCCGCAGCCAAACCTCAGGAGGTGGCTGCAGTCGCAGTGCTGCCGCTTCAACAGGCGGCGGGCCAAGATCCGGAGCAGCTGGCATTGACGGCAGATCCGGAGTGGGGTCTCAAGGCACCTCCATGTCCGGGATTCAACTGGAGTGGGGTCTCAAGGCACCTCCATGTCCAGGATTCAACCTTCTGCCACCACTTCCGGTTCCACCACCACCACTTCTGATTCCACCGTCACCATCACCGCGGCATACCGCCCGCCGGGTTGTTTTTTTGCTCTCCCCAAAAAAAATACAACTTTTTTTTTGCACTTCGGGCCCAAAAAGGTTCGTCGCCACTGATCTAGATCAATCAATAAACCGCCTGCCTAGCTGAAACTTGCAAAGCCTGGCTTCCTTGGGCAAAGTATTTTGCCCCTTTACCTTAATCTCTTCTCGTTTTCTCAACCATACTAATATTTCTTGTCCAGACAAATTCAACAAGTATGAGGGGTAGGCAGAGGAAGAGTGAGACCTTTTTCATGTGAGAACTTTTTACTGATCAAAAGTTTGCAAAAAGTGATAGATTATAAGATCTGGACAAAATGAAAATTGACTTGTCTTGAAACCTAACGGATAATCACATCTGCCAAACTGATTATGCATAAAGAGGAGATTCTCAGATCTCTAATGGTCTTAGAGGAATGATGCAAGGAGGCTAGTATGTAAAATCTCTAAAGGGATGTTGAGTGAGACATATGGAAAAGGAGAGGGCTCCAAAATTGCCTGGGAAAATGACCTACATTTGTTCCCTTGAGTTCTAAATGGGATAAACTTTGGGGTCTGCCCACATTCAAATCCACATCTGTGAAAATGAGGAAGTGCTAGGAAGCTGATCTACAGATGATAACTGGTTTAATTATCATATATTAAGAATCAGATTTAACCAGTCTTACAGAAGACACGATATGAAATCTTTAACTTACATGTAGTTGGACTCCCTCCAAAATTCTGCTTTTTCTATCAGATGTGATGGGCCAGGTTATCCATTATTGCATGGCGTTGTTACTATGTTCATTAGGGGAAACTAAGTTCTTAAGATACCAAAATCTGACTGGACTTTTGGTAATCTCAACATGCCAAGGACTGGCACACAACTGAAACTCAGCTAAAGGAATCCAGGAGGATACCTGGTTGGATAGGATTTGGGAAATGCCTTTGTTTGAAAACTTCACCTGTAAAAAGAAGGTCTATTGGCCAGCAACCAACACAGTTTTCAGTATATGGTCTGTTTTTATTTTGGCTTATGAACTAATTACTCAAGGTACTGACAATCTTTCAAAAAAATATCAAATTCTCATATATTAAATATAAACTGAAACAGATAATGTACCTTAAGCAGCTATTTAAATAAATACCAAACAATGTTAGGTTACCTACCTATAACCATGGTTCAGAGAGAGTAACCTTTCATTACCGGTAGCCAGTGGTTCAAATGGTGGCTTTATAAGTGCCTCAAGAACGAGCTGCAGCGACCATTGAGGCACAATTTTCTGTGATGGAGGGCGAACATTCTTTAAGCCCTTTAGGAATCTCTTGAACGTGGGGTGGGAAAAAAGTGTAGCGGAGCTAGATCCGGGAGGTTGGTGAGCCACTATTGCTGCAATGTAGACCTTAATGGTGGAATGTGCCAGTCCAAGATTAAAGAGATACATGATAAAGGTAAGTAGGGTCGAGAGAGATGATGGGACTGGGGTAAGTCCTTTAGATTCAGTGAATCTGAGGAAAGATTTCCATTTATTACGATACAGGCGAGAAGTGGATGGCTTCCTAGCCTGGTTTAAGATTGCACGGAATTTGGGGTTATCCTCTATGCCATCAGATGTAGGGATCGGACATCAGGATGGAGAATTGCCCCGTTGCTCTGGGAGAGGAGAGACGGTATTGGAGTTAAGTGGAACAGTTCTTGTGTTATATCTCTCAGGTGGGCAAACCACGGTTGTCGCGGCCACCATGGGGCGATGAGAATCGTGTCCATTCAGTATTGGATGATCCTGGTTATTGTCTTGAACAATACCTGGGGCACTTGGCATTGATATGGGAAGCAAAGAGGTCTATTGTCGGCTGACACCATCTGCGGCAGATGTTCTGGAAAACAGTGTTGTTGAGGGAACACTCGTGCGTTCTGGTGGGGAGCCTGCTTAGGTGGTCTGCCAAGCAGTTCTCCGCCGATGAAATATGTATTGCCTGAGGGGCAATACGGTGGGTACGACACCACTCCCAAAACTTTATGGTGAGGCAAAGAAGAGGAAGTGATCAAGTTCCTCCTTGTCTGTTTATGTAGTACATGACTGTGGTGTTGACAGTCATGAGCTGTACAGATTTCCCCGCAATTCTCGGGAGGAAAGCCTGAAAGGCTTTTATGATGGCCAGCATTTCCAATTGGTTTATGTGGAGCATTCTTTCGCCCTTTGAGCATAGTCCATGTATCTGAAGTTCCTGGTAGTGGGCTCCCCAACTGGAGAGGCTGGCATCTGTCCTCACCTGGATTGACAGGGGAAGCGGCCGGAACTGTCTACCAACCAACAACTTGTTTGGGCAGGTCCACCACACGAGTTGATTTGCCACCTGTGGCGGTACCAGAACCTTTTTTAGCTGGGTGTCCGTTGCAGGATCAAATTGTGACAGGAACCAGGATTGTAGTGAATGGAGTTTGAGCCTGGCGTAGGGAACCACCGACGCTGTGGAAGCCATAAGGCCCAGCAAGTGCTGAACATTGAGAGCGGTGATGGTACCGAGAGATGGAAAAGGTGTACTGCCTAGTGCTGAACATTGAGAGCGGTGATGGTACTGAGAGATGGAAAAGGTGTACTGCCCGACGGATTTTCGCAATTCGGTCATGTGGTAGGAATGCTTTCGCCTGACGGGCATCCAGTTGTGCTCCTATGTAACTCACGAGTTGTGATGGTACTAGGTGGGATTTTTCTGAATTTATTTGTAGGCCTAATTCGTGCAGGACCCGAAGAGTAGTTCTTGTGGCTGCAATGGCCTCCTGATATGTCCTAGTGACTAGGAGTCAATCATTGACGTACGGGAAGAGCTTTATCCCCTTGGTACGGAGGTAAGCCACAACAGGGGCCATGCGTTTTGTAAATGTCCTGGGGGCTGTGGAAAGCCCAAAGAGGAGAGCGGCAAATTGATAAGTGGTGTGCTGGATCCAGAACCGGAGGAATCTTTGATGGGACGGTTGAATTGAAATATGAAAGTAAGTGTTCTTGAAGTTGATAGTAGTGAACCAGTTTCCCTGCGATAGAACAGGGAGAATGGAGTCCAGAGTTAGCATACAGTTTTTTTGTAAAGAATATATTCACTGAACTGTCGGAGATCCATGATGGAGCTAATACCCCCATCTTTCTTAGGGATGGCAAAGTACTGAGAGAGAAAAAACCTGTTAGAGTCAGCAGGTGGAACTATGACTATCGCCCCTTTCTTGAGGAGAGCTGAGATTTCCTCTTGTAAAGGTAAGGAGAAGGGGGTGGGCTTGATAGAATTTGTCTGGGGGATGTGCACGAATTCTATAGCGTATCCCGCTCAATGATGGTCAGAACCCATTTGTCTGATGCAATCCTCTTCCACTGGGGAAGGAAAGGATGGAGTCTGCTGGAGATACCAGAGCAATTAAGAATAGGGCTTACCCCTGCATTGGGAATTCCAAAAGGGCTGTCTGGAGCCCAGATATTGTTGCTGCTTAGGTTGCAACGTGGTGAGTTGAAGTGGCTGATAGGCACGCTCATGGTGTTGTTGCCTGCTGTACCGAAAGGACTGGTACTGAGGGAGTTGTTGGTAGAACTGCTTCTTGTATGAAGGTTTCTGATACCGATAAGGCTGGTATGGGATGTAGGACTTAGCAGTCTTCCTCATTTTGCAGATGTTCTCCATTATATCGTCTGTTTTGGAATTAAACAGCCCGACAGCGTTGGAGGGAAGATCTTCGATCTTAGTCTTGGTATCATCCAGGACGTTGGCTGCCCGGAGCCAATCATGTTGTCTAAGTGCTACTGAAGTAAGCAGAGATTTGGAGGCGGTATCAGCGGTATGCTTCACTGTCTGCCTTTGTGTCATGAGTGCAGCTGAAGATCCGGAACCTGAAGGGTTAACTGTAGCTGAGGAGAATGCTGAGCGATTAGAAATACAAACACCTGAATAGCCTCCAGATTCTCCTCTCCCAGTAGACAGGCTGAGGGCCAGGCTCCGGGGAAGACTTATGACAAAAAGGTCAGAGGATCGCTTGAAGGCTGCTCACAGAAACATCCGATCAACTAGCCCTGAGTTCTGACAGGATGAAAAGGCTTCCAGCAGTTCAAGGACTGTTTTTACTATATAAACAGCTCTCAGATGGCTGAAAGTGCGTGGAAGTAACAAGTCAAACCTCTGCTTTGCATCTATGCTCCTGACAACCTTGAACCTTGTTCTCTTGACCCTTGGCTTTGGACTCTGACTCTGGACTGCATTGTGCGTTTTCGCGTTGGACTCTGACCCTGGACTATGTTGTGTGAGTTGGTTTTGGTATTTGGATGCTGGCTCTGCATTCCCTGAATTCCTGACATAGGCCTGGCTTATTGGACTCTGCTGTTGTAACCCCTGGGAATGTGACACTTTGTTGCTTAACAAGGGTATTGGCCTCTGCATAGGTACAGTATTGAGAGCTTCAATCTTCAATGGTTCCAAAAGGGCTTGGAGTAAGGGGAGAATTCTGTCCCACAGATGCTTTTGGTAAGTACCCATTGCAGCTTGGTAGTTTGAGATCCTAATAAGCAACGCTGCCAATGAGTAAAGCTTTTTCTCAAAGGAGTTGATCTTTCTGCTCTCCTTATTAACAGGTGTGGTAGAAGATCTACTGCGAGACTTGTATTGAGTAGCCTCAACCACCATGGAGTTGGGAATGGGATGTTTAAGTAGAAAATCCAATTTCGAACCATGAGTTTTGTATGGTGTTCAATCTTTTGTGGGATTTGGAGAGTTGAAGGCGACCTATCCCAAGAGTCCTTAACCGAAGTAAGGAGTGCCAGTATGAGGCTCAAACTAGGAGGAGGTGTTTTGTCCTGCTCCATATCATAAAAAACCAAGTCCAGTTCTTGCTGAGGAATTTGTACATCCAGTTTTAGACTCTTTGCCATGAGCCTATGACGTGTAGTCTTCTAAAGGGGACTGTGAGATATTGCCAGTGGCACCAGGATCAGGAGCTTCGGATTCAACAGATGATGATGAATTGGCACCTCAAGATGACTGAGAGGTCGACGGTGGTGGTTGTGGTACTGGGGCTGATAGTATAGGTTCAGCATCCCAAATGAGTAGATACAGAGAAAGGTTCAGTATCATGGTCGTGAGGACCGGAGTACAACGTGGTAGCCTGTACCGAGGCATGGCCTCTATGATGTTTGAGTCGTTTAGGTGGCACAGAAGGCGTCTGTATAATTGGTCTCTTTCGGGAGGGTGCAACTTGAGGAGTGGAGACATCCCCTTGGTACTGCAATGACGTTTGCCGCGCAGGAGCTATGAAAGGCTACCAGGGTGGTAAGTGGGTAGTCCGACCATCTGTACTGATCACGGTAGCCATAGCCCTGGTACGGATAGGGATGGTACTGGTCAGGGTATGGATGACCATAAGGAGGTAAACCCCTCTGGATGGTAATATTGCTCCTCAAGCCCGGACGGCTGGTACGAGAAGCATGTTTGCATTTCTCCTTACTTTTCCTAGGAGTGCAAGGAGCATACTCCTGTTCTGACTCAGTCTCGGTATCTGCCTGCCCTGAAGATCGAGGGCTGAAAGGGGCTATGGCTGTGCTGGACGGTGCAACACGACTCAGTCTCGGTATCTGCCTGCCCTGAAAATCGAGGGCTGAAAAGGGCTATGGCTGCGCTGGATGGTGCAACACCCCGAAATCAGCCCGAACTCGGAGACATGCTCAGAATATCATGAGCTTGTTGGGCTGGAGGTATAGCGTGTTCCTCCCTGTCGGAAAGCCCAATATCGTCCCTCGAAGAATCCTGCACTGGTATAGGAGGTATAGAAAGAGGTGCGGTAGCTGGCTTGGCTAAGTCCTTTTGCCTCTTAGGCTTCTCCTTGTCCTTTTTCTTATTTGCAGGATCAGAAGACCGCAGCTGAGCCTTAGAAGAAGCCGGCTTAGGCAGATTTTTAGAGTTCTTGGATTTCATAGGAAAAGAAGCTGTGCTGGATAGAGACTGAGCAACAGGGCTAGTGGTCGATTTAGCAGCCTCCTGGTAAGGAGAGTTGGAGGAAGGGAGGGCTATAGCCTCCATAGCAAGGTTGAGAGATTTTTCGTAGAGAAAAGATTTCAGTCATTGGAGCCGCAGCTTAATAGCCTGCTTGGAAAAACTCCTGCACACGGTGTACGACTGGGTAAGATGGGTTTCCCCCAAACAAAATAGACAAAGATCATGCCTGTCTGTAAGTGGAATTTGTCGAAGACAAACAGAGCAATTCTTAAAGCCCCAAGGGGCCATAAAACAAAAAGGGAAAGAAAAGGGGGGGAACCGTTGAGGGAAGGGGGGAACAATAGAATGGGAAAAAAGGGATAAGCTGGAGGTTCTATCGTCGGAAAACAAGTAGAATAATATAAAACAATTTATAATATAGAAAAAAATGTTAAAAACGATTTAGCAAGGCTAAAATCACTTTCCTTAGCACTCCAGGTTCCTAAAGTCCTACTCGAATGGCGGAAAAGAGGAAACTGAAAGGAAGGTTGAGGAGGCAGAGCTCATACCCTGCGGGGGAGGGATTAATTGACCTTTTTTCCCCTAAGCTCTAGAATCTTCCAAACATCCGGCGCAGGCTAAACCCATTTGTGTGCATTCACAGAGGCCACTACGAAGAAGCCTAATTCCTGTAGAAAACCAAATACTGTATCACAGAAATATGGGAAGCATCAGCAGTGCCCTTTCGTAAAGCTCTTCTCAACCACAATAGCAAAATCCTGTTTGTGCAGGTGTAACATAAAGTTATACCCATTTAAATTTGCTGGGCACTCCGCTGAGGACACAATGATTTGCATAAGTGTGTAATTGGTCACACGGTTCCCAATGAAACCCAAAGATGTGCTTTGTGGACAGCATTTCTGCATTGGTGCTACCAGGGGGGAATGTTGAATTATACCCACACAGCTATGCAACAAAATTTCACCCAATAATTCTTTGCCAGTTCTTAGGCATTATCAATACATTCTTACTCGGTTAAGTCTAACACTATGTCAGACTTCAGATTTCAATTTCAGAACTCAGCTTATTTCTGCATTTCAGCATTTTTGTTTTCTGCTTTCTGACAACAAAATAAACACATTCCAAAATCAAATGGTACGTTTGTAAATTCCATTGCCTTAAGTGTATCATATGTGATATCAAATGATTCCAAGATTAATTTACACAATATTATTAAATATTTACTTCAGATTCTAACTACAGAGAACACTGTTGGCTGCAAGATGCTGTGAGCTGTAGTACAATTAAAGTAACTTTTCCAGTCCAGAGCAGGCAGCATGAATACAGAGAGGAAGGGAGGAAAGAAGGAAGTTCCACTGTGCTATCAAAAAGCAGTCAGCGTGATGCTGGATTCAAACCAGAGTGAAATGTGGCATTTGAAAGAAGTTAAGTGAAACTCAGATAAATAACTTGTAACTTAATCAGTGGTATTTATATTTATGTATTTATTCGATTTATATTCCACCCATCTAGATTATGTCTATTCTGGGCAGCTTACAATATAAAATATGTATTAAATATGATACTGAGAGATAATTCTTTCTGGCCCCAGAATAGAACAGAAGGAGTGATTTGCTACAACAATAAGAATGACTTTGTCTTGTCACAGGAGTTATGCAGTTAGCTTGTTTTCAATTACATCTGACTATTGCACAGCTCAATTAAACTAATTATAACAGTAACTGGAAGCATACAGTGTTACATCCCTAAAATGTTCCCACTGTTTTAGTTTAATTGAAACAAATTATAGAACACAGAGGTTACAACAACTGGGATATAACAGCAAAAGACAACTTATTTTGTGAAAGGTAATTCGGCAAAGTATGTAAAACAGCATCAGCATGACATTCTTTCTTCAGGAACTTTTTCTTTTGAATTAAAAGATACTTACCTAGGATTGTAGAGTATTTTTTCTAAATTAAATGCTTTGAGATACACAATTACAGCAGCCAGGGAGCATAACACAGACTTATCCAAATTTAAAACCATTGACAAAGCTTGGGAACCTGAAAATACAATGTTAATTGGTTTAGTTGTATTCTAGCAGCTTCTGTCACAGCGTATTATAACCCAGTTGGCAGGAGTTAAGCTATTTGAACAAATGCAAATATGATCCTATTGTACAGTATATGCTGCGGTAATTCACTCTGGTATCCTAACTACTACTACTATACAAACACATACATTGCCTATCACATATATTGGATAATGCAGCAAGGATATCTTCTTGAGGGACTTAACTAGTAATGTGAAAAAGAGTTAATAGTTACTAACCATGACATGTTCACAATCTATACTAAAACAATATTCTTACTCAAAAATAATACTTCAGTACCTGCTTACTAGGGAGAAGCCCCAATGAACTCAATACAACTTATTTCTGAATGGTCAAGTACATTTGTTCAAATGTACATTTGTTCAAACAGCTAAATATAAGAACATTTTTATTAATAAACAACTGGGACATATTTTGTGTCCTGTTCAGGCAATTTGAGCTGGCAATTTTAATTACCGTATTTTTTGCTCAATAAGACGTACCTGACTATAAGACGAACATAATTTTTAGAAGAGGAAAACAGGAAAAAATATTCCTCTGTATCAGAGGCGGGCAATTAAATAAATAAACAGTGCAAGTCCCATGCGGGGACTGCCAAAAAAAAAAAACTCACCAAAAAACAAAGCAACATAGAAACATACCCTCCCAGCCCAAACCTACCCTCCAAAACCCACCCAGAACATTTTTTTAAAAAAGTAAAAAGCAGCAGCTTTCCAGTCCAAAGTCTTCTGCCCCCCCCCTGCCATCGCTGCCTTCCAAAGCCTCCGGAGGCCTCAGAAGGCACTGTGGGGGTCCCACCACCACCATAATCTTAATCGTTATTGTCGCTGCTGAGGTCTTCTGGCCTCTGAGCCACACATGTAGAAATGGAGACTGCCTGCCCTTTTCAAAGATGGTGGCTGCAGCTTCATTTAGGGTAGGGAAGCTGCAGCTACCATCTTTGCAAAGGGCAGCCTGGATTCCCTTAGCCTGCCTTAAGGGAATCCAGGCCAGAAGACCTCAGCAGCGGCAATTAAGGTAGGAGGGTGTTGGGGAGGGGGCCGAATGTGCATGTTTACTCATGAGTAAGGGCTGACAAAGGCATGGGTCTACTTATGAGCAAGTGTTGCTGAACACCCTGGGTGGGGCACGCAGGTTGGAGGAGCTCCGTGGACGGGGCACGTGACAGGAGGAGGAAGGAGAAGTGGACGGGTGCCTGGTGCTTTGTAAGCCGGGGAAGCCTCCGAGGGTGTCGGTGAGGGTGGGGTGGGGCCTTCTGAGGCCTCCAGCTGCCTGGGAAGGCAGTGATGGGGTGGGGGCAGTATTCGCTCTATAAGACACACACTTTTCCATCCACCTTTTTGGGGGGGGAACTGCGTCTTATGGATCGAAAAATTCAGTAATTAATTTGTAGATGTAGAAGGCATCTGTTTTGTTGGTTTATGCAGAACCTTAAGATACTCTTTTTTCACCTTTATTTCAAGGGAAGGTAAGTATAATCCTGTAGATGTTTTTGGACTACAACTTCCTCAAAATGCTATATGCTGACTAAGTTCGCTGAGCACTGCATCTCAACAACATCTGGAGAGCCATGGTTGTCCACTCATGCTTTGCATAAACCCAGATTTAATAGTGTGATAATCTGTTCACATATAATGAATTTGATGGTGACAGACACTGGATGTTTTTTAAACAGAGGTTAGATAGCTATCTGTCAAGGATGTGTTAGCTATATACATCTTGCATCTGTAGAAGGTTCAACTTAATTACCCTTGGAAACTCTTCCAGTTCTTCAACTCTATAGTTCTAACTTACTCAATTATATTTTAGTATTTATAATTTACTTGCTGTTTTTTTTAACTATTTTGTAAACTTCCTTAGGTTACAGTTCTAGAAGAAAGGGGGCATTAAAGTAAAACAAAACAAAAATGAATACATACCTATACTGTCAAGGAGATGGCTGCCATAGAAATCTGTGATCAGCTGGAAAGCATTGCTGTTCTCAAAATGCTTGTTTTCCAACTTTTCTATTCGAATTCTGTCATCGAGAAGCCTGAAAAAAGAAGCATTTTCAGTTCGATATTGTTCTAATAAAAGCTAAAAGAAAAGTCACAATATCATAAACCCTTGTTATATTTCACTAAATGGAAGCAAAATGTTACACCTATTTCATTCAAAGTAAGCATAAATGATATTTTCTAAAAGACTTTCTATAATGTCCAATAAAAATGACATGTAGTCTCTTAAGGAAATAGTATGCTACCTATCACAACAAGCTTGCCTTGCTATAGTCTCCTGAACCAATGAGATAAGAAGGAAGGGTATACAGTGGTGCCTCGTATAGCGAGGTTAATCCGTTCCGGATTAACCTTCGCTATAGTGAAACAACGCTGAAAGGATAAAAAAAAACCCATTGGAACGCATTAAACATCGTTTAATGCATTCCAAATGGGCCAAAAACTCACCGTTCAGCGATGCTTCCTATGGCCGGCAGCCATTTTCGCGCCTTCGTTAAGCGAGGGGAGGACGCGAAAACGCTGCGCGCGGCCATTTCGGGGCTTCCGGCGGCCATTTTGTCCGCCAAACAGCTGATCATCGGGGCTTCGTTTTGCGAAGATCGGTAAGCGAAACGCTTGCCGATCTTCGCAAAGCGAGTTTCGCCCTATCTAAACGTCGTTGAGCAATCGCATTAGCGATCCCAAAAAAGGGATCGCTATGCGATTTCGTCGTTGTACGGTGCGCTCGTTAAGCGAGGCACCACTGTATTAAGGATCATACTGTGTCCATGTTAAGACTACAGAAGTTACAACCACTCATGCCCCTCTGTGTGCTTTCCAATTATGCAGTCAACTGGGAGCATATAATATAAGACAAACTGCTTGAGGATGATCAGGCACAAAAGGTTTTAATGAGTTCAAAAAAAATTCTTACACTGGTTCTGCATTTTTCCTTAAGAGGAGGAATTGGACAGCAAGCAGTGGACAGCTGGCTACACAATTATTCTTCTAATTAATGCTTCTTTTGATAAGCTGCTGTGGATTTAAGAAGCCATTAAAGATGAGGAACATGCCCTTGCCAAGTCTGGAATGCACCCAAAGCTTTCCTGCCAGACTGATGAAAATATTTAGAAACGGCGATCTTTCAAGGATCTGTAGAGGTCCTGGTAATCATATTCCTCAATGATTCCACATATTTAAATATATATTGGCAAGATTCAACAATAGAGTCAAATATAGGACACTCATTGAAATGAAAAGGGTATCATTTCTGGTCACCTCATGGATTTTGACTGGTCTAGTTAGTCAGAGGACTAATACTCT